ATTGAGCTGCATATTTGTTCTGTAGTGGATAAAAATGTTGAAAAAGCCTTGTTTGAAAAGAAAAAAAATAAAATCCTATGACTTTTGTTTTCTTAACAGATGGAAGCCTTGTTGGCTGTCCCTAACATTTAGCATGCTTACATCTATTTCAGAAAATGGAAAGAGTTGGTCACAAAGTCAGAATAAAAAAATTGTTTATACAAACCAACAGTTAACACAGCAAGTTGGCTGGTGCTAAGCTGGCTTATAGCTATTGGTGTTTAATCAAGAGAGTTTTTTGGATAGAATTAGACCAACTGATTACATAGTAAATCAGATGGAAATTATAAATCCTCATCCTGAACTGTGTCTTGTTTAACAGTTACATGGTGTTAATACTGTACATAGGCCGAGGACTCACAATTCATAAAATCATAGAATGGTTTGGGCTGGAAGGGACCTTAAGATCATCTAGTTCCGACCCCCCTTGCCGTGGGCAGGGACACCTTCCACTAGACCAGGTTGCTCAAGGCTCTGTCCAACCTGGCCCCTAAACCCTTACAGGAATAAGGCATCCATAACTTCCCTGGGCAACCTGTTTCAGCGCCTCACCACCTTCACAGTAAAGAATTTCTTCCTATGTCTAATCTAAATGTCCCCTTTGTCAGTTTAAAGCCATTCCCCCTTGTCCTATCACTACATGCTCTTGTAAAAAATCCCTCTCCAGGTTTCTTGTAGGCCTCTTTAGCTACTGGAAAGCTACTATAATGTCTCCCTGTAGACTTCCCTTCTCCAGGGTGACCAAGCCCAACTCTCTCAGCCTGTCTTCACAGGAGAGGTGCTCCAGCTCTCTGATCATCTTCGTGGCCTCCACTCTGTGGCCCAGCTTGTGCCTTTGAAGAAGTTTTTGACATGTTTGCACTATTAGGTGTTGAAAAGTCAGAGGAGAGTGGGTGGAAGGCCAGTGCTTGCTGAGAAGCAGTGGAACAAGTAAAGCCAGATCAGACCCCGATTGTAGGGCAGTGCCAGAGCAGAGCTCCAGCAGGGAAGGTGCAGGCAATACTGAGCTGTTGTTTCCAAGCAGCAACGTATCAAAAGTTTCCCTTGCCCAAATGGTTATGGAGGGAAGTTGTCAAAGGCAGATGAGGTTAACTGCAGACAGAAACAAAGCTGGGTGTTAAAATTTGCACATGGTTTGTAACTCCTGTTTCTGTGACTGAACTTCCAAGTGATGTTTGTTGCCTGAGGCCAGGTTGCAAAGGACTCAGTTGAAAGTTGAAGGTTGCTAATGGCTTAAGGGTGAAAATACGCAATGAATTGCATAGAAAAACTGTTAGCCTATTATAAAATGATTTAGATGAGTGACAATCTAAGTGTATGGGAAAAACTGGATATGTTTTTATCAGCGGCTGATGCTGGAGGCAATAAGGTGGCAAATACAGAGATGTAAGAAAAGCCAAACCAGTAGGGAACAGCATAGTAATGGAGTTTGAGAACAACAAAGGAGAGAGAAATGTGAAGTATTTGAAGTAAGCTGAAATAAATTGAAGTTACAGTATTAACATCTGGCTGGCTGCAAGACAGGCTGCTTCTCTTTGGACTAGACCTTCCACAAAATTTTTAATGAAACATGCTATGGACTTAAAGGACCACCACAAGCCTCAAAGTGGTTAAAAGAATATGAAGGATCTGTCGGGGGAAAAATAAATATTCCTGATTGGATATTGCAGAACAGTTAACTTATCTGGAAAAATATACTGGAAATTGTCCATGTTATCTCCCAACTGTGAGTGATGTTGAAGCAGAGCTTGAAAGCAGTGGGGTCCTGATGGTTAATCAACGTGTTTGCCAAGAAGCGATCAGACTGTGGCCCACAGCACTCTGCACATCAGCCTCTGCTGGTGTAGGTGATTGAGTTTCCAGCAAAAGACCCTGTACCCTTCCAGATAGCGCAGGTGTTTCAAGTGGAAATGGCTCCTGTAGGCATGGATGAATTAAAATAGAAAATCTGTCTGTGGAGCAGGAGAAAGCTACAGGAGAGTGGCTTCCAAGGGAAACTCTTGGCTTCCTCTTGTGATCACCTGCTTTTGAAGCAGAAAAGATTCTTTATCAGCAGTTGCTCTCAAGGGAAAGTTTATAAAGAAGTTAATATTTCCAAACATCTGTTGAAAACTGAAGGAGTGGAAGAGAGTTAGTCTAAGCATTAGATTTTGTCTTCTGCTGTTTCTGTCTATTTTAGCCAGTGGACCTGGGACTGCTTGGCAACCTAAGCACTTGCTTCTGCAGTTTTAGTCATTCCTTGCTTCCATTCGCTTGCATGGGGCTGGCTATTAATTATGGCATATTGACATATGAAAACAAAGCTGTTACTTGACTGGATTTGAACTGGATGTGAATGGTTTTGATATGTATGAATAGATTATCTGGTATCACAATACAAGTATTCTGCTCTTTACAGTTCATTTTTATTTGCATAGCTGTAGTCTGAGTCTGCAACCTTTGTCATCACTGTTTAGGTCTGTAAAGAAAACTTAATAATGTATGGCACAGTATGTTTGCTGAAACTGAATAAAATATTATGGTTCCATAAACTGAGGATTTTTTTTTTTCCCCTTGGTAAAATCACAGATTTATTGGGTTAAAAAAAAAAAATCATCCCGATGAACACTGTGTTCAGTCTGGCATTGGAGAGTAGGGAATAAGGGAGGCTGCCCCTGTCCTGTGCTCCCTGGGCTTTCTCCACTAAGGGCTGTGGAGAGCAAGGAGGAAACTGCTGGGTCGTGCCTTGTACGTGTGCACATCAGCACCCTGCCATGCATAGCACGTGTGGCTGCTCGTGCCCTGCTCAGCACCATCCTCTGCACCGGATAAGGCAGAAATCCCAGGGAGGGAGGAAGTGATGCGTGGTTATGCAATGCAAGACCATATGGCAATGGAGGGGATGGAATTCAAGTTTCGTATGTACCATCGTTTGGCATGATATAATTTCTGGGGGCTTGATGTTGGAATGTGGCTATTTTCAGTTTGGTTTTTTTTTTGGGGGGGGGTGTTGCTGTAGTGCGTCACTTCTAAGTCAATTCTTTTGAAAACTGAAGGGAACTCAGCATCTGCTAAGCTCCTCAGACCCTCAAAAAAGGGCTTACTGTAAACCTAAGAAGTTTTTTAAAAAATAATCATTAAATCAGAATTAAATTTATGTTGTTTATACATCTTCTCCTAATTCTGTGTGATCACATGCTGATTGTTTTGTCTTCCAGGCAGATTTTCTTGGTAATGTGTCATCTGTTTGTGTGTGAAGACGTGTAAAATGACTAATTCTTTCTACTATTTACATTCATAAAGGAACAATTCTAGTTTTGTTCTTTAAGCCATGGCTAAAAGCCCTTCTGTGGAAACACTAGAATAAGACAATTAATTGGTCCGAAGAAGTATTTATATGTTAGCGATGTTACATACTTTACTCAACAAAACAAAATTACCTTGGCAAGGTTGTCTTTCCTGTGAACTTAAAATTGCTTGTGCCGTTTTTATACCTGCCAAGGTCTGAAAGCTATAAACAGGGAGATATGTGGATAGAGGAATATATTTTTATATATTTTTATGCATAAGCATATACACACGTATATCAATTAATTTTTTGGATGATGAAGA